ACTGACATTCATACAACAGATTAGAGATGGTGCTGAATGCTCTGCCTCTCGTAGTTTTGAGATCCCCTCAGAGTGAGCAGCAGAAGTTATTGGCACTCCTGCCTCTTACGTATAGCAGACATAGCTAGCAGACACTGTGAAAACCCAGTGTCAGAAAAAACAACACAAAAAAAAAAACCCCGACACCTTTGCTAGCTGCAGAACCCCAAATACATCCCATACCAGGAAAAGTACTTCATCCCAGTCCAAAGCCTGATAACGGTTAACTCTATCCTACAGCAAAGGAGTAGCTGCTCTTCTAGATGAATTCCTTCCTTACCAAGTACTGTAGAGTCCCAACAAAGGATGTGCACAGGCTACCCTGATCCAACTCCTTAGCATAACCAAGGTCAATGATTTTGTGTATTAACTGAAACACACAACAGAGAAGAACATTAGAGAGAAGTCCTGTTAAAAGCACACCATACAGCAGAGAAAGAAAAGGTTCAGCTCTTCAAAGGTATGCAGGAAAGGTACCAATGAAGGGATGGAAGCAGAAATGGGAGGCTCCTGTAGATTCCTAAAAATCACAATGTAAAGTTGTCATTGGCTTGATACACACAGAGCTGGAGACACTACTGCTAATCAGATCACCGATCAACCGGTACAGTCTGGTTATTCCCTTAGGAGTTGAAAGTCAAGTTGTCAGGTGGTACCAGAAGTCTAATATGACCTTTCACCTCAGTTGCATGCAGAACACTGTTCATCTGACACATGGATCTGAACTAGCTGTCATCCTGGGTTGAGTGTTCTTGCAGAGAGACCACTATAACTGCATGAAGCACATGCATGTTGTCTGCACAGGCAGACACACCTGGTTCTTGCTTACCCTTTGCTCTCCTTGCTGCAGCACAATGTTCTCTGGTTTCAAGTCTCTGTGGATGATCCTGTTCTCATGAAGGTACCTGAGAGCAGAAGCTGAGACACAGAAAAAGCCATTTGTAAGAGTGTAACTAACAGTACCTAGCATGTGCTTAGTATAAGCATGTATGGCTTTTGGGTCAAATCTTGTACAATCGAACACAGAAACACCAAGTGCAAAAGTCAGCATCAAACACTATCAGAAACAGAGTTTTCTCTCTGATCTTCCCCCAAACACTTCCCATAAATTGGAATAACATTCCCTAGCTTCCAGTCAGCAGGGACCTCCACAGACTCCCAAGACCTTTGGTAGACGATCAAGAGGGGTCCTGCCATAACATCCACCAGCTCCTTCAGTACTCTGGGGTGAATCCCATCAGGCCCCATGGACTTGTGAACATTCAGCTGATACAGCTGATCTGTTACAATTTCAGCGTCCACAAACAGAAAGTCAGTATTTCCGCACTCGTTGTCCTCCAACTCAGAGGACCAGGCACAGCCCAATATCTGTAAGTAATATTAAAGACATAGGCAAAAAAAGCAATGCCTTCACTTTTTCTTCATCCCTATGTCAGGTGACCACCTTCAACAAGTATACGGACAGTGATTTCTCTAGACTCCCTCTTGCTATGAACAAAATTTAAAAAGCCCTTCTTGTTGTCTGACACAACAGTGGCCAGTTTCAACTCTAATTGAGCTTTGACCTTTCATGTCTTCTCCATGCATATATGAACCACAGCTCTGTAATCTTCCTGCAAAGCCTGACCTTGCTTCCAGAGATCATACTATTGCTTTTTCCTCTTGAGCTCCATGAGGAGTTCCCTGTTCAGCTAATCTGGTCTTCTGCCCTGCTTGCTTGACTTACGACACACTGGAACTGCCCGCTCCTATGCTTCTAAAAGGTGGTTCCTAAAAACTGACCAGCACTCACTGACTCCCAAGCTCTCAAAAGCAGATTCCCGGAGTACTCTGCTAAATAGCTCCCTGAATAGCCTGAAGTTTGCTCTCTTGAAGTCCAGGGTAGCAACCCTGCTCCTTTTTCCTTATTACACTGAAAATTTTAAACTAGGCCATTGGATCATCACTGTGGCCAAGACAGCCACCTACCATCACATCTCTCACAAGTCCTTCTCTATTCACAAACAGCACGTCTAGGAGGGCCCCTTTCCTAGCTTGCTGAGTACTTGTAACAGGAAGTTATCTCCCACAAACTTCAAGAATTTCCAAGACATACTTGTCAGCAGTGTGATATGCACAGCTGATGTCTGGGAAGTTGAAATCTCCCATAAAGAATGATGGTTACCAATCCAGAAACTTCTAGTTGCCTAGAGAGTAAGTCAACATCCTGGCTGGGCGATTGAGTGGCTATACTCAGCTTTTCTTTACCTATCTGTTTCTTCAACCTTCCTAACCTAGAATCCAAAAGCTGCTCTGCCCATCACTTTGTTCTGTCTCATCCACAAGGTGTTGTTCTCTCCATTTCACCTGCAAAATTCTTCATAGGAAATTCCTATGAAAGATACTTTCTCTGCTCAGAACCATCAAGACCCCACAACTGGCAGACTAATGAATTCCATCTATACTAGAAAGACAAAAAATTCTCATCTTAAGAATACATAAAGGCAGAATAAATGCCCCCTATTTTCTCACACTTGTTCAATGTAATACCTGAAGATATCTCCCCTCCTGTGGATAAAAAGAAAAATCACAATGCTAGGGAAAACAAAACTTAGCAGCGTTTCCAGATTGTGCTTTTTAGCCATGATTCAGGCCTGAACCAAAGGGATTCACTTTTCTGCTCTCTGAGACTTTGTGTCCCTTCTGACAGTGCTGCATTCCCAGAGTGAGCTCTCTTGTTCAGTGCAAAACAATCCAGCCAGACTTTCAGTAGTTACCAACAATATAACCCTAGAAAGACCAACTATGCATGCACGGTAAGTGATTCAGAGAACAAGTTACATCAATAGTTGAAAATATTTCTTATCAGCTACAGTTCAGATCATACAGTTGAAAATTTGGGTCTATCCCTCTTTCCATACATGCACAAGCATGTGAACACAAGCCTCACTCTAAACACGATCTGCCATTGTCTTTGGCCAGCACTTGGTATCATTTCCCAGTCGCTAAGGAATATAAGGATGAGGCAGCAGAATACAAATGCTCTGGGAACACAAAGGATGGGAGATACACCTGCAGTAATGACAAACGCACGTTTATCCTCTTGCCACGAGCTCCCTTTCTAAATGTAGGTATGCCCCAAATGCCCATCCTCAGCTGCAACTCAGTAAGATTACAACGTAACTTGACCAAAAAACTCTAACCCAGAAGTTTCTGGACAGCACTTGGCAATCTTTGCACCAGAACCATCTAAAATTCCACATAGTGGTTGCCCAAAGGCTAAAGGAAACCCACTGATCACACACACTCTGAAGTGCTGATGAACAGCTGTTAAACTGAGAGCGAAGACTGATGTGCAACAAACCAGAGTCACTTGGCAAGCGTTCAGCTGTCCAGAACCTTCCAGGAAATCTTAAGTGACATTTTTGCTGGGCAAGAAAAATCCATCTCCACATTTTTGAGAACAAAAATCAAAGGTTGGCTCTCCCACAGGGAGAGCAGGGCAGGAAACAAGTACGCTCTTCAAAGGTCAGTCTAAAATGGAGTCATTAAGACGACTGCTGTATATCCTTGTAAGTGGGTTCAGCACTGAAAGAACCCCTTCAGTTCAGACAACTGAAGATACTGATACCCCTTACCAATATCAGATAACAAGATGAGAATAGCTTCTTCCCGCAAGCCACAGCAATTCTCCAGTTGATTCAGGTACTGCAAGAAAACAAAACAGAATACAGTCTTTCCCTCCTGTATCCTGAGTGGGGCTCACAATCCCACAAACTCTCACGGATGCAAGAAGTTCCAGTAACAGAAACAAAATTCTCTAGAGGGACAAAAGTCTATGGGATCGTGACCTCTGGTAGCAGCAATTACAGCTTCAGGCTTCGGTCTAATTGCACAGGAGGAGAAAAGAGTGGGTGAAAGAAATCAGTGTCACCCCCATTCTATTCCTTCTACTTGCTCCATCCTTCATAGCCATTTGCCCTGTAACTGGCAGCATCAGCTCAAATCTCAGCTCTAAGCTTTGCGTTTTATCTATGCGTAGATTACAGCAAAGCTTAGAAAAACAGTAAGATTAGAATTAACATATGTTATTTTTTCCTATGACACATAGGAGTTCAACACTTTCAGGAAGGGTACAGCCCACAGATATACCCTATGATGATCTTGGCCATACTCGCATCCTGTTGCACATCCCTCACCCTCTATGTGCAAATTCCTCCAGTGTCACTTGCAGCCAAATACGAAAAGTTTCAGAAAGCACTTAAGTCTTCAAAAGCTGAATGCAGTATTGAGGACTAACCCACCAAAACCTGTTGGTGCCATGACAAGAATTAGGAAGCATCAGGATGTGAAAACAGGTTTTACAGGGAAACTTCAATAGAAACCTCTAGATGACCACGAAGCTGATCCAGCCCTTGGTCACTATCCCACAGACCTCACCTTGCGGAGGTCTCCACCTTGGCAGTACTCCATGGCCAGCAACGGCAAGTCATTTGGTGCAAGCTTCTGCATCCCTTCAGGGACGTCACGGGCAGCCACCACATTGGGATGGTTCAGTCTGAGGAGCGGAAATGAGGCAAGTACACACGATGAGCAGAACCAGGGTAACACCTGAAAGATGACTGTTCTGCAACAGCAGTTTCACATGCTCATGGTCATCACACAAAGTCCTACGAGGGCATTAATACTCCTAGAAAATCTTAACTAGTGAATTCTAAACTTTGAAGACGCCGCGGGAGGAGGCGGGAGGAGGCGGGAGCCCTGCACCCCTGGCCAGAGCACTTACACCGGGTTTGCACGCGCTGTCCCCGGGCGGGCTGAGGCGCAGGACAGCACAGCCGGGGCCGCGCGCCCGCCGGCGTCCCCGGGCACGGACGCGTCCGGGCCAGCCGCAGGAGGGCATGACGGCACGCTTCACCGCGGACACTGAACCGTCCTGCCGAAACGCCGTCCTGAGACGGGGTCAGCTTAGAGGTAAGCCAGTAGATGTTGCTTGAGAGAGGAGACACTGTTATTGCTGGCTTTCCTGAAGTATGTTAAGGACTACAGCTGGCACCCACGCCACACTCTCTAGACAGCTAGAAAGCTGTGAAAAGCCAGGCAATAGTAACTTCTGAAATCTTCCCCCACAGCCATTACTTTGTTAGCATCGTTAAACTAGAAGTCCGGTAGCAAATAGCTGTTAGGTTTAAAAAGAATGTAAATTAGCCCCTACTCGCTCAACAGTGTCCAGTCATCTTTTTCTCAACAACTGGGAGTCCCTTCTGGAAACAAATGCAGCTGCCCTTCAATCACATTTATGGCAGTAATGTTATCACCAGCACTGTGTCTCTCAGAGAAAAACGTAATAATCTCAACAAAGATTTCCATAGCCAGAAGAGCTAGCCTGAAGATGGATGTCCCTCACACACCGTTTCTTGCGTCTGTCCTTATACTAAATTGTATCAGGAGCCTGATTTCTAGTGAATCAGTTACTAAAAGTTGGGGTACATCTGTTACTTTAACAGTTGCATCACTGACAATTTTCATAACCTAGACCTAAGTTCAGCTCCAAAAGCGATTTTTTTGGATTTGTCTGCCACACTTTTGATAACCTAGTACTTCGTGAACACACCCTGGTGAGTAGATCTTCATTTTCCAGAATGGACAGCATCAGCAAACATTTAACTCTTTAGTCCTCAACATGCTATTCCTTATTTCTATGTAAGGATCCTTGGAAGTTTTGCTCATTGTCTCCACTTAACTTGAGAGCTCCTCGACCATTTCTTTTCCCAGTGGCACTGTTCATGGCATGCTTTGCTCCACAGACATGTCAGGGTCTCTCTGCCAGGCATTTCTCAGTACTAGGTGCTTCTCAGCACCAGGACTAAGACTACAGATTGCAGACCTCTGGTCACGTTAGAAATACACCCCCTCACATTCCTAGAAGCACGATGTGACAGTTCATCATAAGGGATACATACTATTCTCACTGTCACTGGAGCTTAAGGTATTCAGTGGTGAAAGATTGTTTTGAAGACTGAATCTGCTGACTGGAAGAGAGAAAGAACAAACAAAACTGGTCGTAAAATTTAGCATGCCCCACTCACTTCATCAAGCAAGCTCTCCTCCTGTCCTGCACAGACTCACTCCCTAATACTCTGGACACAAACCACCCTGTCCTGGATCATCCCCAGATCCTCTGGAAGGGTGGGGGTGGGGGAAAGGACGCCCTACTGCCCTCTGGAGTCTCCACCCCTCGAGTGGAGTTTTAAGTAGGAGAGGAGCTGTTCAGAGAGATCGGAGCAGAGACGCAGAACGCACAAAACCCGACTGGTCTAGAAAGGAAATCATCAGCAAAATACGGAAGAGAAAAAGCAAAAAGGTAGGTACTACTCTCCACCTGTTTCAAAAAGTGCATTTCCCGTTTTCAACATCAATGGTATTGTCATTAAATATTATTATTTAATAAATCCCACTGAAGCACCATGGTAGTTAACTAACCGAGCTGTTGCCTTTCAGCTTTTGAAGAGATTCATAATGCTGGGTACAGTTAGCTTTCAGTTGTTTCAAGAAAGCCTCAGCTATTCCAGGGAAAGGGCTCACAGCCTCAGGCTCTGACCTAGCAGGGAGGAGTCTCCTGCACAAAGAACCTTACCAGAGTAACTTAAAACTAAGGACAATCTCGACAGCTATGTGATGGTAAGGAGAGACCCAGAGAGCTAGCTGTTTTCCTGGGAGGAGATCAGACTATGCCTTTCACCCCAGGCTCCCAACCAGGATAATGGAGGGACAAAGAGGAGGAGGGCGGGTCTTCTTCAGTTCTCCCTAAACATGCTTCTTTTCAAATGTGGCCAAAACCACAGGAAATAATAATTTCCCAAAACAAAGCCAGAGTATGAAATACCCATTTCATCCAATGCCTTCAAGGACTACAGAATCTTACTTTTTTTTTTTAATTTTCTCCAAAAGCAGAGGTCTGTCCATTGTTATATTTTAAAGAGAAATAGTAAGAGTCTGATATTCATCTGCTCAGTTTAGAAAAGCAATACAGAAGCACTTTCTCCAGAAGGCAAGAAAAGGCAGCAAAGATCTGCAGTTTTTCGCTTGAACTAGCAAGATAGCCATTCAGCAAGAAAACTATTACTATGGTAGAGTCAGAATCAAACTATTCTGGAATGGACATACTAGGTTATTGGGAGGCATATAGGGGTGGCTACTTTAAATTTCTGTGAATGACTTTTTGTTCAACCTAGGTAAGATAAATCCAGTTATTAGGTCTTACTCCTCATTGGTAAGATAATACTCATACTTCTACTGCTTAGAAGAGCTGTTATAATAATAAATTAATATGTGGGATTTAAAGTATTCCTGCTGCTGATGCTTCAGCAGAGAGAGATAAATTTAGGGCATTGTATATCTTATGTCCTAATGTACCTGGAAGTGTAGAATCAAAATGTCAGAATACCACATCTAGGCTAGAGTATTTCTGATCAGAGAAGAAGAAAAGGGTGAGAACAGAAGGCACAAACTCTTTAGGGGAGCCCTACCAGAAGGCACATTGCTTGCAGGTTTCTGCTCGGAGTCTTGTAAACATGGTATTTTTCAAACAGCCATATGGTTTCAGTTCGATAGGGCTTATCATTTGTAACATTCCAACTGACTGGCATAAGCTGTACCTTTCCCAGTACAAACATCTGGCAACATCTGTTACCAGTTTTCCATGCATAGTGGGACAGTAGCCACCAACGGAAGGACCGGCATCCCCCCATGAAGAGGTGGAAAAGATGGGAGAAGGGCTGCAGCATTACAAGATAAGGTAGCCTGGACAGGGGCAGAGAAGTAAGTGGAAGAAAGGATGTGGCATCCACTGCAAGACAACTTTAGGGAGACTGTCGCATTCTGCAGTATAAGCATGTGCTGTGTAAGATTAGAATCTGCTTCTATAGCAGACTATATGGAATAAACTTGGTTCTAACCATAAACTTAATTAAACCATGCATATGCTCTTTAAATAGGGAGTCCTCCTTTCATGTCAGTCTCCAAGACTGAAATGCCACAGCCTAAACTATCCTGCTGTACTCCCAGTTCTGCTTGAGAGAATGGAGTATTTGTACCTTTTGCTTTTTCTTTGAACAGACCTTTAAAATGAAACCAAACCAAACCAAACACAATAAAAACCACACAAACTCTCTTCCTTTTTTTAGCCTTGAATCCCAATTTATGACTCATTCACCTGTCATACTTACCAATTTCACCAGCTGTTGTCCAGCTGCCTTCTCTGGTTTTATATCAAAAGAGTCTGAGCTCCTAATTTCTGAAAGTAGTAGTTTTCTCAAATAATTGGGGGTTAGCTTTTGACTTGCTCAGGCATCATATAATGTAGATGATAAAAAGCTGACAGTGTGGGAGACGGCCCCTGAATATTATTTCAAGAATTTGGAACTGCAGAGCAGGCCTAGAGATTGGGAATGAAGTTGTATCTTCTTGCCTGCTACTCCACTCCCAACTCCTGATTTGTATAGGAGGCATTATATTTTTAAAGGAAGAGGGAAAATGGTCCTCTGGTGCTGGACTTGTTCCAAGCAGGGGGGTTTCCCATTTACATCCCACTTGTGATTCATCATCTCAGCCATCTAGACTGACTGCTATAGCAGTCCTGATTAGTACAAAGGTTCAAGCTAAATCTGTTCACACTGGTGATTACTTATGCCTCCTTTGATTGTAAAGAAGAGCTACTATTACTGCATGCAGGAGTAACTATTAGTTTTAGCAAGAAAATTATGGGTTCAAATCAGAAAACCTATATATTAAAGTTATCTGCCTTATTGTAAGAGTTCAGATCACATAATAATTACAACTCCAGTCCTCAAAAGCTATTACTCAACTATGAAAATCAGTAATACCTTCCCAGTTTTTAATAGATGTATTGGACCTTGCTATTTAATGCCCTGTTTCCAAGAAGTCCCATAGGCACTACATTTCTAAACTTCTGACACTGTATGACTGTTTGTATCCATCTTACTAAGTTAAATTTTGCCATGGACGATAGCCTCCCCTGCCCCTTCCCCCCTGCCCCAACAGAGAATCCGGGTGATGTACCAATAAATCCTCATTTGAAATCCTCAAGTTCAGAAGCATTTCTAAACATAAAATAGAACTTTGCTAGCTACCACACATGCTGCTAAGGTCAGGCTTTACTGGAGTTCTTTTACATAGATACATTTGCCTGATCTTTTACAGTTACTACAAGGTCACCAAGATAAAAGAATGAGCAAAATCCATCTTCTCCAGGATTTTTTTCTACAGGGATTAACAGAGAAGCCAGAAACCCAGAAGCAAAGTGGGTTATGCCTCATTGCCTTTGTAGGCAACAGACCACCTCAGAAAGCCCTTCACTGCCTTTGTCTGTCACATTCAGTCTGGTTTTCTGCTATGAGATTAGAAATGGTGCTTAGTACAGCAAGGGAAAAAACCCATGTTACTTAATTTCAGCAGTAAAAATTTGTATATGGTCAAGATTATGCTGTGTTATGAGCGTGCCCCTGGCTGCTCAGAATTTTCTCCCTGCCCACCAGCTGTCCTAAACCAGTCAATGCTCACACAAGGCACTCTGCTTTGGTTAAAGAAATAATTTTTCCTCGTTTGTCAGGAAACAAACAGGGGGAGGGGAAACCAGGGCACGAGATGGTGGCATGTCTTGCTGCAGTCAGTGGCTACAGGCATCTAAATTCACGCTTCTGCCAAACTTGCCTGTTCAAGGCCGGCCAAAAATAAATTTTGCTACAGTAGGAAGAAATACAGATGGATCACAATAACCACATGTCCTTCCTATAGCTATCTGTGGCCAGGTCAGAGCAGCTGTTTCACCAGGTAGGAAATTAACCTGTGAAGAGAAAAGCAGATTTTCAAAGCAAATGAGATGAATGGAGGCAGCAATCCAGTTTCATCCTTAACCGCAGCCACACCATACCAGCTGGCGAACTCCCACAAGAGATCATTGGAGGGTCTCTCCCAAGACTACTGCTGTAAGAGACAGACTGTAAATCAGTCTGGAGGAAGCAGAAACTCTTCATGTGGGATGGAAGAGGGCTTTGTCTGAAGTGTAAAGCTACTGAAGGGATTAGAGGGAATAAGGCGTAGTTGAGACTGCACAGAAGTGACGCACAGAAAGATGCTGCAATGAATAAGTGAGAACACCAGACCAAAAGCTAGCCTGCCAGCCATTTGCTCTCCTTTTTTAGCAAAAGCATATCACAGTAGTAGAAACTAAAATCTCAGCTGGGGAGAAGCTGTAGAAATATTTAAAATCAAAGACATAGCAGTGCTGTCCTCATCTATGATCAACTAAAGTCTCCTTGCTGATGCATACTCTACACAAAAGCCCCCACTCTCAAAGAAGTCTGTGCAGAAAATGCAAATCCTCTTTAACCACTATTATCACAGACTGACCCTTCAGCAGATTTTTGTGCCCCTGCAAGAGATCTCTTATGTAGGCCTCAGTGACGTGAATCTCAATTAACACTTTCCATTCAGCATTGCACTCCCTCATTAGACAAGTCCATCTTTCTAATAATGACATGTGATACTATTGGTTTCCAGCAACCCTGGTAATAAAAAGGACTTGGAATTTACTTCTACCAGTGTCATTCCCCAGGAAACACTCTGAGTTTCTTCCAGACCTAAATGGGTGTGCTTTGGCTTGTTGGGTTTCTGAGTTTATCAAATGAAAGCACATCTGGATCCAGCCTGGCAGTTTCCCCTGTCCAGGGACACCAAGATAGCTAGGCCAGATGGCTAAGAACTACAGAGTAGAAAGGGTGTTTTAACATAATTTTCATAATTTAAAACTTTTCTTTAAACTCACAACCTTGGACTCCATTCACACTCTAAAATGCCTTTGTTCTTTGTTATTTTTTCTTTTGCCTTTATAGATAACTTGAGATTTGGAGGTGATGTGGAAAATACTCAGAACAGAGGGAAAACTCCCATGTCTCCTCCTGCTGGTGGGAGCAATCATGACTGTTCAATGCCAGGTAAAAGGTTAATGAATCAAACAATGCTCTTGCCATCCTCCCACATTTTCAGCAGCTCTTCCTTCCCATCGACTCCAGCTGTCTGCATCAGATAGAAAGATAATCTGGTTATATGACTAGAAGCCAGAGAAAGAAAAACCTTACAAGCTAAGATTTCCAGCAGTGTGTTATCCTGGCTGGTTTTCATTTCAGTAAGCAATTCGCCAAATCTTGTTGGTCTATCTGTTCACTGTCACCTTTCACTATTAGTAAGAGTTCCACTGTGACTACCCATTAATTTTCTTTATATTGTCATTACCTTCATCATTACTCTCACCTACAACTGGATGGCAATGGTTGCTATGGCCCCTCACTTTAAGCCTTACATTGCACAGCTTGAGTAACCCCTACGCAATTCTAAAATGTTTAGTTTCTCAGAAAACTGCTATCCCAGCCTTATTCTTTCTTTTCATGTTATTTTCTGTCTTGTGGCCTGATCAAAGAAGCTTTCTAAATTGGTTTCCTCCTTAAAACTATCCAAAATATTTAATTAGCTGCAGGAGACACATCTCACAAAGCAGACAAGCCACAAAGGTTTATGGGGAAACTGCATGTCAATGAGCAAAAATAACTGCTCGTTCACATTTACTGCTTTGGAAATTATTTGCTTGAATGTCCTTCAAATAGCAGAAAGCTGACAAGCTTTAGTTAGCACCTGCAATGCCTCAAGAGCACACACATAATCACTTCATCCCAAATTCATGTCACTCATGACAATCCATCACCCAGTAATCTGTGGCAACTCAATGATGTGGTGCTTTTCACTGTACTATCCCATAAGGAGGGCAGAGAGTTTCTCAAGCTCCCCTGATTTCCTCAAGAAGAGAGCTGGGTCTTTGGAGGCACTTGTCCTCTCAGTTTTCTTGAGAGAGCAGTTACTCACAGAATTAACCTTCTTTGCTTGCAGGGCTTACGCATGCGTTTCAAACGGGGAGCCAGATCTAGAGGTAAGCCAGGCAAAATACAACCGTGTTACCTGCAACTTTATGAACACAGGACACAAGACAGATGATACTGAGAGAATGAAGCCTGAGAGCTGTTTGTCATGGTTATCTGGATGAGAGATTCAGGAGGCTAAACACCAGACCATTAATACCACCCACAAATCAAAGAAGAAAAAGAGGCCGTTCAATAGTGGAACAGTACATCCAGCAACACAGCAGTGAGAGAGGTGGCACAATTGTGGTCTGAGGAGGAAAAAGGGCATCTTTTTCACAGATACTTTTCTCCTGGAAAAAGGGAGTTCTTTTGCTCAGCTCAGCCAGGTCTTTTCCCTGACTCTCTAAAAGAGGATTTCCTTTCTCCAATTACAGCCATTTGCACAGACAATTCATCTGGAGAAATTTACCAGCACAGGGGAACCTGGCTAAGGCTCTCAGGGAGCAGAATAGAATACTGTAGGTGCGACAGCGGTCGGAGTCGCTGCCACACTGTGCCTGTCAGAGGTGAGTATGAAGACGAAAAAGAGAAGGAAATGGTGGGGGAATGAGAGACTGTTCATCTAATGCTACAGAACAACTCCACTGTCAGGGAAGGCGTTATCACACAGAAAAAATACTATATACCGACTCAGGCAGGACTGAGGAGGCTCCTAATAGCATATGTGGAGAGAATGAAGCAAAGGAAGAATGTTAGCACTACACAAAAAGACTGTAAACACATGACAATAACACGTAGCCAGGGAAAACCAGAACAGGCTAAAGGAGACTGACAGAAGAGAAAAGATTGGTATACATTGCCAGCTTCTTACTTCTGTGAAATCTAACAGTATTTCCTGGCTTTTGCTCATTCCACAGCCTGCACTAGAAATAAATGCTACAACGGCGGCCAGTGTTCACAGGCCTATTATTCCCCACAGCTCTTCATTTGCCAGTGCCACCAAGGTTTCTCTGGGAAGCAGTGTGAAATAGGCAAGTATACCATGTCAGTTACTGTGAACAATGCTACTGGTTTTAGCTATGCAGTGCAGAAAGACAGTACCCAGAAGCTGCTACTGTATACTAGGCTCTCTTTAAGTTGCCCCTTTTTATTCTAAAGCTAATACTACAAAGAACTTTTAAGAAGGCCACCTGGGCTGTTCTCAGTGTCTCTTAATAAAACTCTAAATTTTGGAGCTGCAGACCTTTGTGTATTACTTACAGTCTGCCTGGCAAGGCATTTTCACCAATTTACTAGATGAGACGTCTGGGAGCCAAATTTAAACAGAACAGAGACTGGGGAAGCAGAGTTTGGGATGTTGTCCTTATAGTAACATTTTGTTCCCTTTTGTTCAGATACTGAAATTAAGTGCTACAAAGACACTGGAGTAACGTACAGGGGTACATGGAGCATGACCAAGAGCGGAACCGAATGTTTAAATTGGAATAGCAATGGCTTGATGGACCGGACATACAGCGGCCGAAGAGAGGACGCGGCCGAGCTGGGATTGGGCAATCACAACTATTGCAGGTGAGGGGCCGATGGCACACAGGTCAGAGCTACAGGAATCAGCCCATTCTAAGAGCTTGGAGCAAAGGAAAGCCTAATACCAAGCAGAGAACGTTCTGCACAGGTGCAAATACAACACAGCCCTTGAGCAGCAATTGCAACTTCTGTAGACATTTCTGAACTTTGGATCTATCTAGACTGGATGCTTATGACAGACTACAAAACGCATACATCTCTAATCCCATAGTCTTTCCCTTCTCAGTGCCTGAAACTCCCTTTGTAAGACCATTTCCTGCAGCTCCAGATCCTGCTCGAAACTCTAAAAATGTAGTGCTTCCTGCACATGAACTAAACTGCACAAACAAGCTGTTCGCTCCTACTAGCTACAGGCTGTCTCATCCTCACCTCCATGTAGGAATCCAAGTGACTTCTGATGGTTCAGTCCGCATCTTTACTGCAGAGCAGGATTAAGTTACCAAACTAGATGGCAGACATGGGACTAGTAAGAATAGCTTTATAATAATGCATAATACCATAACTCTTTCAGAAACCCAGATGAGGATTCCAGACCTTGGTGCTATATCTATAAAGGGGGAAGGTACCTCTGGGAACACTGCAGCGTGCCCTCCTGTTCAAAAGGTACATGCAGTGGGACAGGGAATGGACTTCAGAGCTTCCATGATTCACTGCATATATAAGGATTGTCTGTTGGCTTGTACTATTTTTGTAGCCTGAAAAGTTGAGACTTATGTTAAATCATGTTTAAGCTTTTCATATTTATGACACCGAGAGACCAAGATCAGTATAGCTAATATACAGATGCCTTGACAGAAATCACAGTTAGGAGCAGCTGACAGGTTCACATATGTTGGTTAACATGCAGCTTTTTTATTGAAGTTGGGAACATGAACTGCAAATCTGGAAGAGGCACAGATTACCGAGGCAGCCACAGTGTTACCAGTTCTGGAGCTACCTGTTTGAGGTGGAATTCTCGACTCCTTGTCAACAAGTTATATACTGCTTGGAGAAGAGATGCTTACCCACTGGGCCTTGGTAGTCACAATTTCTGCCGGTATGTAGTCAGTTATAGAATTTTAAAAATCCCACCAAACTTTCTTGTGGTACTTTTGAGGCAGGGCTCTAGTCTTTTACATGGGTTATTAAAACACAGGAAATACATTACTGCTGGGAATGAAGTTCACAGACAGTAGTCATTTTATTCCACCTGACCTATCTGTGATTCTCTAACATCAGACTCCATAAATGCAAATTCCATGTTCCCCAAGGGCCCTCTGTATCTCTAGAAAAATCAAGAAGAGTATACTCAGGTCAATCTGCCACCTTTAGGTCTCCCCAGACTCCCTGCAGAACTGATAATACAAATAGCGTTTCTTTTTCCTGTGTTGCAGGAATCCTGACAATGACAGCAAGCCCTGGTGCCATGTACTGAAAGGAAATCAGCTCACATGGGAGTACTGCAATGTGCCTACTTGCTGTAAGGATCCTAGCACTCCTGATTCTTCTCTTTCTTTGAGGCATTACTCTTCTGCATGTCATTTGTATTAAACTCAGGCCTCTTACAGTAAAATACGAGCTGGGGGGGGAAGCAGCTTTTTGGAGTAGAAAAAGGTTCTGTGGCTCTATTCTCAGAGAAATGCCTTTTCTCTGCCAAAAGGGAAGACTGCAGAAATGGAGCACAGAAAAGGCAGGGTTTCCTCACTGTATTTTTCAAATCAGAATACAAGTTTCCTAGGAAACAGCAATGAGTCAGATACTAAACAGTTTATGCCAGGCTGCCTCAGCACATACTGACGACTAACAGGCTCTTAACCCAAACTCACAGTAAGAGTGCCTGAACAAAAAGTTTATTTCTGGGTTTGTCATCCACAGCCACCTGTGGCTTACGGCAGCAAAGAGTACGCCAGTACAGGATTAAAGGTGGCTCCTATGCAGACATTGCAGCTCACCCATGGCAAGCTGCCATCTTTGTGAAGTATCGACGAGCACCAGGAGAGCACTTCCTCTGTGGAGGAATTCTGATCAGTTCCTGCTGGGTTTTGTCAGCTGCTCACTGTTTTGAGGAAGGGTAAGTTGAGGGTTCAGTATAGCCTTACTGGAATGGTAAAAGACTTGGAAAAAAGCTCTTTATCCCAGAAGTCATTCTACACTACACTAAAGATTATTGAGTTAATTGTGCTGAGCATTACAGACAGGCTTTCACTGGGTGAACAAGCAGCATGGCATTGAGGTACTGCAGCAGAATATGAAATAGCTGAAGAACAAAGTTGTCAATACACATGCAGAGCCATCTGAAACCTAAGAACAGCAAGGGACTCACAGAAGAGCTTTGCCATGATGGCTGTAAGCAATTAGCACAAAAACAAAGGCAAATAGGACACTTGAGGTCAAACTGCCAGGGTAATGAAGTAATAATAGTGCTAAGAAAAGCAGAAGCTCCAACAGCACATCTTCAAGGGAAGGGATCCAATCCAGTTAACACAGTAAGTAAGACAGACTCTTGTTCTTCAGCTTTAGTACAAATCAGCTGAAGGTTGTGCTGGGTAGGACTTCCCGTGCAACTCCCGAGGAAAATGAACAGACATTTCAAGTGAAGCATTACACTGTGCATCAAAGATTTGACTCAGAAAATTTCAACAATGATATTGGTAAGAACATTTCTGACCATGTGACTGGAAAGTTCACAGTTGGCTCGAGTTTGTGATGAATGAAGTGGGGATTTTTTTCCCTATTCAGCTCTGTTGCAGTTGAACTCAGATGCAGAAGACTGTGCTACTGAAACAGACACTGTCCGTGCTGCCTGCCTCCCAACACCAGGACTGCAGCTGCCTGACTGGACTGAATGTGAGATCTCTGGTTATGGCAGAAGTGAAGAATGTAAGTAGAGATAACGTGTCTACATGTAAGTAGAAGATACTATGTCCAAAGGTTGTGTCCCCTGCCCTCAAAGAATTCAAGCCTTTAAGATCACTTAATGTGTAACCTCCTGAATTATTATATGGGCTTGTATCAGCACTACAAAACATGTGTAAGTGGGAGATACACAAAATCGAGTTTTGCTGTAAGTTATTTCATTCATCTGAGTTCTGTCAGCTGCATGGGCTAGTAGAGTATTCCTTGATACTCTCCAACAGCAGAAATGAAAAAAAACCACAATGGATAAGGCAGGAAAGACAGAAAGTTTGTAATCAGGGCTGCCACATTTCTGTTGTGCTGAGTACATTTAGATATCATCATTCTGATAGAAATCCATTTCTATCATGATTTAATATACTATACAGTTGCAGCTAGTTGCATTATTCTGAAAAACACGTTGGCTGTGCAGTGATTAGGAAAAAAAAAAAACCTAAAGAAATAGCAATCCCAGATACATATTAAAAGGCTGGCTAAATGGTTTTTAGCGTGAGCTGCAATAAACAGGAATAAAACCTGTCCAAAAGGTATACGCAGGCTGACCTATATTTAAAAAAAAACCCAACAGCTCTTATTTTAATCACACTTTCTAGTAATTTCTTTCTATTCTCTAACTTGTAAACTCTTTGAGACAGAGACTGTGAAGCATCCATCAAAACAAGACCTAATCATGGTTTTGGAACAGACTTGAAGATTTAACATATAAGTGTGGCATAAAGTATTTTCAGAGTGCTTTTAAAGCTAGTCCTTATCACTGCTTACAGGGAGTACAGGATAAACTCTCTGAGAGGGAAAGTATGCTGCAGCTATAATTCAAAACTAGACTGAAAAACAAAAATCCTGCCAACTTCCAGCTTTGTGCAGTTGCAGCTATGCAGGAGAATAAAAACAAACCCAAAAATCCCTTCCATTCCAACATAACAAGAATGTACATTCCTATCCTGTTACTCAGTATTGTGTACAACAAGGCATCTGATTTTTGTTAGCATCAAGTCTAATACTAAAAAAGATCCTGTTTCATAGACTTTGTGATTTTCATAGGCGCTTCCTGTGACTTCATTTTGATTGATGTAACTATGCAAAGACAACTCATCCATCCAAGAAACCCAGCAGTCCTTAATTTGGGGCCTACAAAAACCTCTTTAGCTTTTAGCTTGTTAAAGAAGCAATATTCTCTCTCAACTAGGCATGAGCTGTTCTCACTAACAAAGCAGAAGCCCCAAGAATTAAAAAAAAGACCTTTTGGCAAGGAAATATTATTTTAGCCATCTCTCACCCCCAGTTACTTCTGTTTACTCTCCTCTAAACTACAGAAACTGAACTGCATTTTTTTAAATATATATATATATATATACACACACACATATGACATATAATGTATTTATTTAGTAATTTTTCTTCCAGTCTCTCCATTCTATTCAGAGCACCTGAAAGAAGGTCATGTCAGACTGTTTCCAGCCAGTCGGTGCACAACACAGCATCTAGACAACAGGACAGTTACAGACAATATGTTATGTGCAGGAGACACAAGGCACCTTGATGATGCCTGCAAGGTAAACCCCAAGTCTGTTCCTCTTTTCTTTTTAGGTCTGTCCTTGATAGTCTGAGCTAAACAAACAAAAAGCTTCAGAAAATACTTTAAAGAAGTTCTGCATTTGGCTCCGTAGAAGTTCTAGTAGACTTCTGTTGAACAGAACTGCTGGCTCCTCCTTTTATCTCATAGCTGGGAAAGCAGGCCACACTTAACTAAGCAAACCAGAACAATACAGACTGAAAATCCCAACTATAGGAAATACCACAAAACTGAGAGGAAACCCCACCTCTGCAGCATTTCCTAATTTCTCTTATGTGAGCATGCAAAACACTCAGCAGGAGGTTCTGTAAGAGGAAGGGGGTGCTGCTCTACTGAAAAGTAGAGAAAATAATTAAGGGGCAAAAGACAGTGGAGAACAAGCCTCTGTAGCATGAAGAGGGCACACATTCAATCCACATCTTTCCATTTAAAAGGCTCTAATAATTTTGCTTTTCTGTTACACACAGCAGTATAAATCACCCTCTGTATCTTGGATAAGAGCATTCCTCTTTTTGTTCTTATCAACATCTCACCTACATTTCACAAATGAGTGCTGTACAAAGTTAGAACACTCTAGCGTTAGATTTTTTTGGGTCTCTCCAAGAGGAACATCAAGGGATTCTGGAACATGGAAGCAGCTTATGTGAAAGCACCGTTACTAAGAGTTCTGGATTTGCAAGCATACTATGTAGGATATTTCCGTAGACACTAGTGCACAACTAAAGCCAGTGTGGGGGGAAAAAACAGCACAAAAACAAACATACAAACAAGGAGATTGTTACTAAACTGCTGCTTCTCTGTAGGGTGACTCTGGAGGGCCCCTGGTCTGCATGAAGGATGATCGTATGTATCTAATTGGAATCATCAGCTGGGGAGTAGGCTGTGGCCGCAAAGACATACCTGGCGTTTATACAAATGTGAATCGTTATCTTGACTGGATTCAGGACAACATGACACCCTGAGAAAGAAAAATGAACTATCCACAATTTGTGGCCATGCCCTCACAGCTTCCTTCTGGGTGCTTTAAGGCTACTGACCGGGCTTCCTGTTTGTCCAGATGCTTACAGTACAGGAGGAAAACAAACTGCGTGTGGGAAGCATACATTTGCAAATTACTCTCCTTATTACAGGTTATCAGAAGGTAACGCTTCTTTTCCCCCACATCCCCAAGCTTTCTTCTTGCATCAAATCACTCGAGTACAAATAAAAATAAACTTTGGCCCAAGAGAATAAACTGAGAGAACATCATGCATGCCATGAACAGCTGTGTTGTTTTAGGAAGGGGCATGAACTGAAGGCAGAAGGGACAGATTTAATTTCCTGAAAACTTCATCTCCCTCCTTCTTTGACTGTAAATTTAAACAACGTTCCCGTCAACCTTAATCTCTGTCCTTTTTAATATCACATTTTATCTTTGTTATTTATGCTGGTTCACCTTGACTCCAGTAGAAAGAGCAAAGCTGTAGGCATGGGCTGCTTATTTCTGTACCAATACACTACTAGCTTTTTCAGTTTGAAACTGATTCATTAACAGAGTCTGAGCTTAAACTCTCTGAGGAAATCCAGGATGGCACGCTTGTTACAACATTCTATTCTTCAACTTTTCCTCCTGGTAGTAACTTAAATATTTAAATAAATATGGAATAGTTGAAAATTTTAACACCAGCTGTATTTACCACAGAATCAACATGTTACTTTTTGTCTATTAAATTTCTGTGCATTATCATTTGATATGAAAGCAAAAGCTCTCTCTTTAGCACAGCAGGGCAGAAGAAAGGACAAGTGCAATGGTAACAGTTTTAGGTGCTTACTAGATTTACATGCACAAGTAAAGATCAAGTCAATTGTCACAGGGCTACATTTGTCCTTTAACAAGAAGGTATAACCACATCATTGTGAACTAGAATCTCAGTAGTCAAGCATTACTTGCTTGCATTGCAGTTGCCATGTGACACTGAGCAGTATCCATGTACATCCTAAGACTTAAGTCTCTTTGAGAGATTCTCTCTTGTCCAGCTGTTTTATAAAGCAAGAGAGAGCAGGTGTGACTACTGTTTCACGGAAAAAATGTAAATTATATTGAGGCTACAAAAAGAGTTTAGCTTTAGTATCTATCAGGCACTGTAGTTAGAAAACTAGTCTGTTTTATGTGGGGAATTCAAAACACTGTAACTCAAAATGTTTACTCTCACAGTTGTAAGGAGCTCTCTGATGATCTACTAGCACAGGCTCTAGTCAAATAGAGAAGTTTATACAATAAGTAAGTACAGAAGAGAGATTTGGTAAGGATGCCTATTACTTTCTCAGGTGGGATTTGTAAATGGCAATTTGGTCCATGTCTTTCTAGCTACCAGCTTCAAAACTGACCTCAAGATCTCTAATGTCCTCAGATAAATGGTAGTGTTAAATCCAGTCAGCTTCAGCAATGAGTCCCATATTCCAACCAATGGAAGGGGAAAAAAAAAAACACAAGATGTTTATTAAAAGAGAGTTCAATTTTTTGGTGTGATTTGTTGTTGTTAATTGTATTTTATGAAGTATTAACCTTGAGAAAAAGACAAGTTAACTTCCATTCCTCTCCCCTAAAGCCATTTCCAAATGCTACTGTGCCTCACTATCCTGACATTCACAAGACTGCCAAATATTTGCAGCCTGTAAAACACCCAAAACCAATCCTGTAACACAGGTAAGCATCCTCAGGAATGCAATTTTGGTCCACAGTTCAGTCTATCAAATACATTATTTGCACTTGATGTGATCTAACAGCCGCCAGTAAAATGTAACTGAACCACACCTGATACTGATCTTTTAGAAAAAATGCATCCTAAAAAAACGTAAGTTGCAGAGAACAGTTTTACATTGCAGCTGTTTCCAGCTACTTGAAAATACCCTTACATGAAATATCAAAGGTGACAAGAGAGCCACACAAGCCTTAGCTGCCATTTCTCCACTGGTTGCTTCCTTCCATCCTGGTCTGTCTCCTGTGACATCTTCTCTGAAGCTGACTTAAAGAAGGGTTCAGAATCACTTCCAAGTTTATTCTAAATGCTTTTTAATCCTAGATTTTGTAATAGATGCTTAATCTGGGAGATTTATCAAATCCCAGTCCAGCAACCAGAACTTTTTTTTTCCAGCCTTGCTTTAACTTCTTGCATTGTATGTCTCAGAAGTTGCTGCCAGCTAGCTCAGTGCATTTAACTGTGTTTCTCTGTCTTGTTTACCCATTACATCCCTCCCTGATAAAAATCCCTGGGAATGGTTTCCATCTCTACATCAGCTTTTCCTCTTCATATCCTGTTTTTTTCCCTACTTGTCCTCTCTCAGCACACAGTAGCACAGCACCATCTTGAAACAAGGTGTAAGACAATAATGACTGCCATCTGCCCGCCTCACTTCTCACTTTGCAGTTAATACTGTCATATTCAAGTTCTTTCAGAACCTGAGTCAACATCAGCATTTATTGTAACTGAAGTACAGAGCTACACCTCACACTTTCCCCCAAAAGTCCTTATATCCTCATCTACGAAGTTCTCTCACCGATGTTGTTTTCCTGCTTCCCCCTTCTGCCCTGCTTCATCCTTTGTTCCATAGGAACTTGCAGCCATCTCAGACTGATATAGAAAGCTTGTTATATGCATAAGGGTGTCTAGCCCTTACAACAAGCCTTTGAAGATCTCGAGTAACAATCACTTTATCGAGAAAGAAAAGATACTTTAAAAAAAAAAAAGCTACAAAGCCAAAGGACATTATCAGTACTTGAGGAGCTGGATGGTGAAGTTATTTAGTTGTCTTCATAATTAAAGCACAGCCCTTAGCCTGCTACCAAAACCCTACGTAGTAAACAAAAATGGTTTGGTTGCATTCCTAGACAGTTTCATTGAGCTTCTAGAAAGAGCTCAGCACTCCTTTTGGGAAACACTAAGAAAAATTAACAAGAACGTAATTAATTAGCTTTTTAGACAGTGACTTAATCCCAAGCTTACAATCCCAATTGCATAAAGACATTTATATCCCTAAGGTATCCACAATCCAACTGGCATAATTTACTGTCCTTCTCAAATGCCATCTGTGTTTTGCGTAAAGCCCACACAAACCACTCTGAAATGACACAGATGACATGTAAAAATGAATTTTATTGATGCCCTTGCCCAAGGTTATATTTGCACTGAACATGCTCAGCAGTAAGGCCACCTGCTATGGCATTCATCAGTCGCACTGGAACTTGTGATTCCACACGCAAGATGCCACTCACCCACTGCAAGTATCCATCACATGCAAACCAGAAAGTATGTTATCCTTTGCTTAGGGTCAACTTGTTCTGTTCACAAGCATGAACTGTACATGCTGGACTCCACAGCCACCTGACCGATGCTGCAGTCACAGCTACAGCAGCTTGGGGACAAGGTCCGTTACCACAGAGAAAGACATTGGCATCTAGTGGCCAAAGAGCATAATACAGACAATATAGAACAGTGCAAATATCTCTCATTTCATATTTATGCTGTACAGAGAGATGCAGCAGACTGGAACGGGCAGATGCAGCAACAGGTCCTGCAGAAGAGATGGTCCCAGTGAAAAATCCAGCGTAGGCTTGAATCCACCTGCACAGCAGCTGATTGGTACAGAAACTAGAATGAGGTAGGACAGCCAGAAACACTACAGAGGTACCAGCACACAATTATCTCAAAGAAAGACATCAGTGAGCAGGAGAACAGCAGTATCACCTTCATTTGTAATAGGCAAGCAGAGACAAAAGGAGGTTCCAACAAGTTAGTAGCATAGCAATCATCTTCATTTAGCCACAGCTTCAGTTTCCATCAGAGTGCTAGGTCTCCACACAAAAAAAAAATAAAATAAAAAAAAAAAAAAATCTGCCTCTGTCTCTTCCCTGACTCACCAAAGAAGCTAGGAGAATCCCTACCTTCAACTACTGATGAAATAAGAGAAGCAGAATTACTTTTAGATGTCACCACCCATCAGTTACAAGATCACATATGCTACAGTCAGCCCTTCACAGGAACCCATACAAAGATTTGGATGGGTTTCCAGTCTACCTCCAGAGATTCAAGATACCTGATGACCAAGACAGCTTATGAAATATCTGGAAAAGGCATCCCTTTCTTCCCTTCCTCCCTCTGTGGCAGCGTCCCCAATCTCAGGGTTCTTAACTTCCCCTTCTGGGTGGGACAATCTACCTTTCCACTTCTTCCAGTCCCTTTGAGGCAGAATGGCTAGACGATCTCTCTGCTGCCAGGAACTATAGAGCTCTCCGCCCTAACGTCCAATGATGGAGAAGGGCAGAAGCCAGACAACCACACTGGAGTTGAAGTTTGTGGAAATTCAGCTTTGTATCATCTACAAAGGGATAAAAGTCAACTGAAATACAAGGAAGAGGATTTAGAAAAGGCAATAAATCCCTAGAATTTCCTTTAACACAACAAAATGAAGGTGATACAAGCTTACACAGCTCACTTACTAATCCCAAGGGACCTGAACTCCTCTCCCACCTACTATTGTTCCAAATACTTCAGACTCAGCTAGGGATGAGATGGTTTCAGGTCAACCTTACTCTTCCCTGCTCCCCAGCACCCTAAGCACTGGCTCTCCTGCTCATGCTACTACAGGCAAGGGAGCAATCCTAAACAGATGGATAGGGTAAGAGGCTGCATCCAACAGCCATGGACAGAAGAAACAGGAAAGTGCTCTTCCTCACTATGAGGATCCTCTAGGTTCGGACTTGGAACTTGCCAGCCTTAGTCATGTATTTTATCCCCTTGAAGGGCTTGTACTTCTCCCCATACATGTCCAAGCGATTCACCTTCAGTCCTAAAGGCAAACAAACATAGCATAAGACTGACTGTTCTGACAGATGGGTCTTAAGGATAAAGAAACAGAAGATCATCCCAGAAGTGCAGAAAGCATAGGGAAAGTTTTAGCAAGCAGTGAGAATGGAGAAAAACTGACAACTGGTATTTGTCAGAATCATTCTGTACAAACACATCCATCCCCTAAAATTCTTTAAGTCTGTAAGCCCAACATGCAAGGAAATTTAGATAGGCTGTTTCACAGAGCATGAGAGAGAACAAATCCATGTATCTGTAGTCAAAGCACACTATTTTTTTTCACTTATGAACATGTTTCAGATAGAATGTAAAATTCAGAAGGCCTGCAGAGTCACTTCAGCTACATACAGAGTGAGCACTGACACAGCAAAGAACATTCAGCTTCTTTACCTGATAGTCACCTACCAGATATAGCCAGCTGCTGAATTTTAAACTGCAGGTTAATGGTGGGGTTTTCATCTGGTTTTGATGTCCCAGCTTGCAGGGTCATGCTCCCCTTCAGGCTTGGCAGCTTCTGGGGGTTTATCTTCCCCACATCCCATGACAGCAGCTTTAAGAAACGGAAAATGCAGCAGTGAAACAGAAATGTTCTAACACCCTCTAAACAAGAGTCCGCTTCCAATGACAGCTTTTTATGTTTCTTTATGGAAAAGGTCTTGCCTCTCATATTGGACAGACACAGCACAGGTTTAAGAAGCAGCTGCCTCGGACCTCTGTTCTCCCTCTCTCTTTCCCTGAGGTTCCCCAAAAGCCTACCATGAGTGGTATTTCCACTACTTGTGCTGCAGGCCCCATTTCCTATGTGTAACAGTGACAAAAATAATGCAGAATTGCCTCCTTTCCAAGTACCCAAAGCAGTGTTGCTTGAGGCTCTACTGTGGGTAAATCATCAAATTTTACAATTTAAAAAAAAAAAAAAAGAACTTGGGCTGGGGGAGAAGGAATCAAACAACAAAACCAAAACACCCCAAATAAAATCAAAACCCACTAACCAACGCAAATCCTCAGTGTATGCAAAGGACCAAGTCTAACGTGCGGTACTAGGCATGACAACTAGATACGCAGAAGTTTGTAAAGCATCCACCAGATTAACACCTCATCACACATTACCAGTTCTTGGATTTTCTGCATGCACCAAGCAACTAGAACTACAATCTACTCAGACACTGAGCTATTTGTTGTGAAGATTAAGACAACTAGGATGCAATAGTCCAGAAAAAGTTCTCACTCCAAGAAAAGATACTGCCTTCAGAAAAACACTGGTCAAGGAAATGGTCATGTAAGCACAAACAGCTCAACTTCATTTGCTGAAAGGTAGAAACTTTCATTTGTTGAAAGGAAAAAAAAAAATTTAATTTCTCTCTTTCCTCTCACCTTTGTAACTGGATCGAAGATATGTGTTCCCTGAGAGGGTGTGAGGGTCATATTTAAGACACCTTTTGGCATCTGGCTAGTGACCATCACTCCCTCTACCGTCTTCCCCATAGTCTGCTTCGGCCCCACTGTGATCTCAAAACGTCCCAATGAGCTGCTATCACGGAAACTGATGTTGTGTTTAACGTAGACAGGAATTGCCACAAGGCTAGAATGAAGACATGAACAGAAAGTCCTTGTCAATCTCTTGCCTTCATCTTTGCTTTTCCTGATGCAGTTCTTGCCTTCTACACTGAGAACACTGGAAATCAATCTCCTTAAAAGAGAAGGAAATCCTACACTCGCTTGTTTGATTTAAGAGCAAAGTCAGAATCCTGTTCTCAAGTCTTAATTACACTTCTTTTATTAATCAAGCTTGCTGTATCATACTTTTCTACCTCTCTACAGGACAGGTAATTATATCCAGTATAACAGAAGACTTGAGCAAAGGATGAGGAATGCACTTGCATTTCACAACCAAGCTGGCAAATAGTTCCAGGCAGTGCAGTGGCACTTGAACTTCATGCTTGTGCTATTGATTGGATTTCCCACTCCTTTTCACCTACCTGAGATAAGGCTGACAAAATCTAACAAAATGCTTTAACATCTGTAACCCCCATTAGTAGTTGGTAACCCGATTCTAGAAAAGAGCACAAGAAGTGGACAAGAACTTGTAGCTCTATTAAGAGAAATGTCAAAAAAACAAGGTTATCAAACTATCTTGCTTTATTCTAGAAGTTTTTATAAATACAGGAAATCAACAGCTTGATTACTCTATACTGCCTAATTCCTTCCCTCTCTAGTTTATTCATCTGCTACTGGTCTTTGAAAAATGCTGCTGACCAAAAAGAAATGACAGAATCACTGCTCCAAATAAGGAGAAAAACATGTGTTTTAAAAAAAGGAAGAGTGCAAGTCACCATGCATCTCTACTTCTTTCGGCATAACATGACACCTGATCTTTAAAAGCAAGTCACTTTTTTTTACCTTCCCTACTAGCCAGGAAGGTCCAAATTTTGTAATTCACAGCACTACATTAATCACCTACTTCTGAGCACTGACATGATAGGAGAGCAAGCGAAAATTTCCATCAGGTGGAATGAAGGAGAGTATTCTTTCTGACTCCCAGCGCTTAAAACGCACACATGGATGAAAGCTGACATCATCCAATAACCGAGGGTTCTGAAATAAAGTCACAAGGTTAGTGAAGGCAGTACTACTTAAAATAACCTCAATCTTCTACCCATGAAGGGCTTAACATTCTGCCCACTTGAAGGTATCTACATTCAGACGTTAAACTCTTTGATGTTACATCTGTGTGACAGCAGTACTCAATAACCTCTACCCTATTTTAGAAAATCTAACCATGTCAAATTGTTACATTGATGCATACTCACAAAAAAGACGGCCCTTCAGGACACCTGCCTAAAGCACCACTGTATCTCAGAAACTTGGTCACAGCACACACTAACGGTACTTTTAACAAAGAATCTGAAAATAAAACCTTTAGGCTCGAAGTTGCTGAAGTTCACTATGAGTTTCCATTGTCAATTCTTTCCCTTTTTGTTTGGCATATCCAGATTCTGTCCTACTCTAATCCATCAGCGTGAGACTATCCTAGTAGCAGGGCTGAAGTAAAGATACTTAAGTAAAGATAATCCTTGAGCTTTACCATAAAGGAGAGGGTAAGGTCTGGCATCCCAGTCAGCTTGACACAAGCATCAATTACCCCCTGGATTTCAGCAGTAATCGTAGAACCTGCAAAAATAAACACAGGAGGTTATGTGAACCTGATCAAAAAAATCCCCAGTGTGGAAAAGCTATCAATGGGGAGGAAGGAAATTTTTCTATCTTTATGGCTCATTATGTTGCCCCCTCAACATTTTTCTCATTCTCAACAACTTCTAGAGAAGATGCATACAAATAAGAACCACTGACACCAGTAAAGTCCATTTTAATGGCCAATGACAATAGCTCCCAACTCTTACAAGACTAAGATACACAAAACCTAAGGAGATAGTGCTATGCACAATTTTCACTCACTTTCTATCTTCCCAATACAGAATTGCTTACAAGACCTCAGAAGCAAGGACAAGTTAAAACCTCGGTACCTCTCTAAAACTGAGCAATAGCACTTACAAGATGGCAACATTCCAGGGTAAGAATAGAGTCCCACACTTAGATGAGGGAGCTCTTTGAAAACCTAAATCTCTCTTCAAGCACTATCAGGACAAGTTACCCTCACCTTAACCAGAAGCAACTTCCATACCTGATTTGTCAATGATTGCATCTATCTCTTCAATCACATCAAAATACGCCTCATTGTTGGTATATTTTACACCAGTACGTCTCCAAGGCACCACTGATAGCTGTCCGGTAGGAAGCTGGTCACCCACATTAGTGCTTCCTGGAAAAAGAAAGGCAATCACAACAACCACAAAAGTTAGACAGTGCTCCAGAACAAGTCCTTGGCCTCATATAACATAATGGTAATTAATCCCTGAGAATGTCTATCTCTTTGTAGTAGAGCAAGTACTCTTCCAGACTCACTGTCTGTATTCTACAATTTACATCTCTCTCATATCCTACTCTAAAACATACCACAATAAGGCATAGGGAAGTGTAGCTAAAAAACAAAACAAAAACCACCCCAACAAAAAAACTACACCAAACTAACTCATCCAGGAGGTCATGTCACGGCTGTAACTGGAAATGTAATCTATCTGTTTTGGTTAAAAAAAAGTGCAGCTGATACTGGAACTGGAAGGAACCTCAAAGCAAAGCACTAACACAGGTCTCCTTAAATACACTTCTGCTGGGGTCTAGAATGGTATGGGACAGCACAAATTTTCTTCACCCATGTCCTCATTTACTTATGCAGGAATATTGTCACATGGCCTCCCCAGCTAATCTACTTTTTATTTCCCTGTACCTGTGATGGTGTTGACAACTGTTCGCAGGATAGTGGGAGGTTTTATCAGTTCCTTAAGAATATTAGACTCTGTTGCCAATGGAAAGCCATTGTCCAGCATCTCCTCCAGCACCTCATAAACCACCACAACATTGTCCTTGATCATCACCTCTGAACAGACACCAAAATAATCCTGTGCAAAAGAAATAATTACTCAACAGTCTGTGAAAGAAAGTCTTAGTGATTATTCAGCTTAGTATCCTCCCCCACACAGAAATAAATTAAGCCTATTCTTGGAGGAGGTGAAACAACACTGAACCTCAGTACAAGCACATTGAACAGACTGACCACTCCAACATGCACAACTCTCAGCATCTCTCTGCCACTGCCCCAATAAGCTGGCAAATCACCACATCATCATATGCTCTTACTTCCTTTCTATATAACAAGATTCCCTTTGATAGCCAAGATATTTTTTTTTAATTAGCACTTGGAAATGGCTCAATTGCAACCGATTAAGCAGCAATATTAATAAAAAAAACTTACTTCCAGGGGCCACTACTGACTTGTGTGCAGTGATACCTTTCACTGGATCCCAGTATTATACATCCTTCCTCAGCTGCCCTAGTCTTCACCTACAGTACTCTCAATATTTTAACTGTGCAGCACCGCTATTTAAGGAATTCAGCCTCTCCTCAAAGCTTTTAATTTACTTTCACTATAATACTTGCATACACATAGAAAATAATAAAATTATCAACTTCAGTTCTGTAAGTATTTTTCTTGGAATTTATTTTGATATAGGAGAAGTATGGCTTCAAACTCTCCACATATTCTGCGTTAAGTCCAGGTTTGCTTTATAGCAGACCACTTCTGAAGTCTGTCTAACACACTACCTGTGGGTTTTTTCATTCTGCTACCCCTTGGGGTGTACAGACTGCTTACACATCCCAAGATGTATTAGACTAATAACAGAAGTTCAGTACTCTGAAAAGCCTGAAAAATAATTCTATGCATATAACAAAACCCTCCTTCCTCATAATTTAAGAGGTGTATAAAGCAGAACCTTAGAACATGAATCATAAAAGATCCACAGACCAGTTTATTCCCCAGCTTGATTCTTCTACTGTTTCTTCAGCTCCTACTCTAAATCAATAAGGAGCAATATTAAAGTTTGCAGTAGATGTATACCATTATCAAATTGTAAATCTGTAATGCAATGTAGGAATAGAAAAATAAGATATTTCAAGATTCAGCATATGTTATAGGAAGCAGTCTCAATAATTCAGCAATTTTGAAAATTTAACATATAATTTACAGTTTTATTCTATGGGAACTTCGTGCATCTTTCTGGAGAGCGAGCACACACAGACACAAACCTGAGCTTCTGGTTACTTACAGCAATTAAAGAGATCAGGCATTCTGCATAAAGCATGAGTATACATGAACTGTGACGCTAGAGAACTCCTAGTCCTACACTACAAACACTATTTCTTTTTCAGATATGGCCAAACCAGTTAAAACACACGCCTTGTCCCCTCAGAAAAAAAAAAAAAAAACAAGACCTAAGCGACTGACATAGTACATTTTTGGCCTGAACAGCCAATCTGCTCCCTGAACTCAGTGAAACATAACAGCCTACACTCACATTCTGATTGGCACCTGGAAGCAAAAGCTCACATGATGCTTGCTTGACCAAGCATCCACATTTCCTGTATTCTGGTAGGATGCTGGTCACAAGACATTTCAAATCCTTTCACTACACGATCCTGTTGCTGGCAGGCAGAGACGGACACCTTCACTATTCCCCTAAACCGAGTGGCAGTCACGTCAGCCATAGCACAGAGGGAATATGGCTGCTCTGGGGCATCTCCTGTGACGCTCCTTTAGGAAGCAAACACGTTTCCAAGGAATTTCACTAGATGTAAACCTATAGATAGGGTGCCACTAATTCACTAAAGCACATGGCAATGAATCGCAAAAACTCCCTGTGAGAAGAGTTTGGTCTTAGTTCACAGCTCCGAGAACAGACAAGGCTACAAAACAGAAACATGCATCTCGATTGCTGAAAGGTCTTTCCTGTGAGTACAGGCCGATCCTGAACCCTTCGTCATTCCACGCAACACCTTCCTAATCACC